GTTTTGGTTGAAAATGGTAAATGGACTGTAATTTGCATAGACGCTGGCTGATTCTACTCGATACCGTTAACTAGACAATATTACTAAGGTCGGACGTACCTGAATATACGAAGGCGGATGGTCCTGCTCTCGTGCGCTTCTTCGGGGATCCCAGCTACACGGATTTCGGTCACTCACGATTATCCAATTCTAGGAATAACTTGCGGCGGAACATATATTAGGGAGCAGCGAAAAAACGTGCCATTTCTCACGACGCGCGGCGTTGACAGTATGTGATCACGTGACGGGAAGATGTCCGTAATTTTAACGGACCAATAGTACGCAAGAATCCCATCGACCCGCGAAATACACGGACATCCAAACCAAAGTAACATTGGTGTAACAGTTGCGAGTATTCAGAGCAAAATAAACAAAGAAATTTCGGCTGCTTATTAAACTAGCCGAACCATTCCTCCCGGCCTTGAAAGGGAAGCTTTCAAAGGTGTAATCATCTTTATCGACCAAATTAATTTATTCTCACTTCCATGAACCTTATTACAACATACTAAAGAATGTTTGTTAACTACTTATATCTACTTAATCCCACTAACTTATCTATGACTTATTATCTAGAGGCTAATCTACCCTTTACCTAAATAATTTGTGAATTTTACTGAGTTGGTAATGGACACAATTTAACCACTGGTCTTTGGTAAGTACCGTGCTTAGTCCTTACCATTGCTACACGTATAACGTCGTCCTTACCTTTAAAGGTTTGTGTTATAATGCCTAAGGGCCAATGTAAGGGCGTGATGTTATCCTGTATTACTACAACAACCGTTCCTTCCTTAACTGGGAAGGATGGTGAGTTCCACTTCTGGCGGGCTTGTAGGCTATGAAGATATTCTCTCCTCCATCGCATCCAGAATGACTGTACCAACTTGTCTAAGAGTTCATATCGAGTTAGAAGATGCGGAATCGAATCATCGATATCAGGTGCTGGCAGGAAATCAAGCGGGACGGTATGTAAAAAATGAGCTGGCGTCAAAGCTGCTGGATCTGAAGGATCAGAGCTGAGAACTGTAAGTGGTCGTGAATTCAATATGGATTCAATCTGGCTTAAAACTGTTTGAAGCTCCTCAAAGGTTAGAATTTGTTGGCCGATGACCCTATATAAATGGGTTTTTATGCACTTGATGTTACTTTCCCAGCAACCACCGAAGTGTGGAGCATTAGGAGGAATCAGTTTCCATTGGATACGACTTTCTGCTAACTGCTTTTCCCACACTGGTTTATATTCATTCTTTAGAAAAGCGTACAAATCGCGAAGATAAGATCGGGCACCAATAAAATTAGTTCCGTTATCGGTATAAAAACATTGAACCGATCCCCGTCTAGCTAGGAATCGTTTCATGGCTGCCAAGAAGCAAGCTGTGCTGAGATCGCTTGCGAGCTCAATATGCACCGCTCGTGTAGTAAGGCATGTAAACAAGCAGATGTAAGCCTTACGGCTTTTTATACCCTTACCACGATATGGTGTTACTAGGACTGGGCCGGCATAATCGCATCCAGTATGGACGAAGGCTTTGACAACCGCTCTCACTCGAGGTTCAGGGAGGTCAGCCATCATAGGGAACCCAGGTTGAGGCTTAGATCGAAAACATACGTTGCATTTAGATATAATGGCTCTAATTGCACGTCTAGCAGATAGTATCCAGTATTTAACACGGAGTACAGAAGATAGCAACCCTGGTCCTGTATGTAAATATTTGCAGTGGTATGAGCGTATGAGCAAGTCTACCACATGATCCTTACAAGGAAGGAGAATAGGATGTTTAAAATCAAAACTCTCCTCTGAGTTTGCCAAACGGCCACCTACGCGTAATACGCCATCCTTAAGAAATGGGTTTAATTTTTTAATAGATGGAGAACGACATCCCCCTTTCTCTAAACGTTGAAGGTCATCACTAAAATGTATTGACTGTATTACCTTCATAATTTCTAATTCCGTAAATTCCAAATCTGACTCAACTATGGGTCCCAGAGGTAGCTTCCTTATAAACTTGTATATGTAGCTTGCCACGTTAAGGAACCGTTGCCACGAAGAGTAATTACGTGCTAGCTTATAAAGAAAAGGTTCTTCGATTGGTTTTATTATTACTAGGGAAATAGACTTAAGCTCCGGCGCGTCGGAAGATTCCTTTGGCACAAATGTTTTTATTGGCCATTCGGTTTTTTGTAAATGGGCCCAAGGAGGCCCCTGTAGCCACAGGGGGTGATTCATAAGTTGTGTAGGAGTTAATCCACGGGACAAACAATCGCACGGGTTTTCGTTACCCTTGATGTGGTAAAAGTGATCCGATGGTAAGTTGTCCTGGATTTTGGAGACTCTATTGGCAACAAACGTGTGCCATCGGTGCGGAGAAGAGTGAATCCAATTTAACACTACGGTCGAGTCTGAAAATGCTAACACCGAATCAATTGGGTATCTACTCGAATATATTTCAAAAACCTTTTTTATTAATTTAGAAAGCAACAAGGCTGCACATAATTCCAGACGTGCTAATGAAACAACCTTCAAGGGCGCAACCTTTGACTTTGCGCATGACAAAATGACAGTTGTCTGAATTTGTTTGACGTCTACTCGAATATAAACTGCGGCGCCATAAGCCTTTTCACTCGCGTCAGCGAAACCCAGAATTGTTACCGAACAGCCATGAACCACTCCAAGGTGCCGAGGAAATTTCATCTGGGCAAGCAGGGGAAGTTCCCGTCGGAATTCATTCCACAGTCGTGTAATTCGTTGTGGGGGATCAGCGTCCCAGTCTATTTTAGCAATCCAAAGCTCCTTGATTAAAAGCTTGGCATACAAAATTACAGGTGCTACCAGGCCCAAAACATCAAACAAACGTGCGACAGAGGACAAAATGTTTCTCTTAGTGCAAGGGCGATCATCTGAAATTACCTTGAAGGCGAACTCATCATCATGAGGACGCCAGTAAAGACCTAATATTTTCAAGGTATCGTCCTTGTGAAATTCGACATTTTGCGACAAGCGATAATCTTCAGGAATATATTCAAGTACCCTTGTGCTATTGCTACTCCATTTGACTAGATCGAAGCCCCCAGCCTTAAATAGCCCGATTAACTCTTGAAAGGCAGAAATAGCTCGATCGGAATTCATCAGTGAGCTAGCTATATCGTCCATGTAAAGATCTCTCTGCACGACTTCTTTACCTATAGGAAAACGGTGACCCTCATCCTGTACTAGTTGCGAGACAGTGCGAAGAGCTAAAAATGGGCTACACTTTAGTCCAAAGGCTACTCTATTGAATTCTAATGATTTTATTGGAATTTGAATATCTGAACCACCTCCTAAATTGTCATTCCGACTGAAGCGATATAAGATACGCTGAAAACGTCGATCCTGCTTACGGACGCCTATCCTAAGATACATCTGCCTCACGTCAGCTGTGATGGCAACAGGTAATAGTCTCATATTCATTAGGATTGTAAAAAGGTCGCGTTGAAGATTGGGACCGGCATATAAAAGATCATTTAAAGAAAATCCGCTACTAGACTTAGCACTTGCATCCAGGACAGGTCGAATCCGTGTCGATAATTTATCTTCCCTAAGAACAGCGTGGTGGGGCATGTAAAAGTGCAGAGGATCTTTATCGGCTGTATCAATAGGAGACAAATAACCTTGATATATATAATCCTTGATTACACTATCGTACGCCTCTCTTAGAGCGGGCTGAGCAGTAAACCTACGCTCTAAATGCAAAAATCTACGCCCAGCAACTTCCAAAGAATTACCAAGAAGATCTGGACTGAATTTGAAAGGTAATGCTACTTCGTAGCGTCCGGAAGTAGCACGCGTGACAGTCTTGCTATAATTTTCTTCGCATATTTTATCATCAGCACTAAAGATATGCTTAGGATCAATTTCGTCGAGTTCCCACATTTTCCTAACTAGAGTCTCGACCTCAGATGTTGAAATAGCATGAAAAGCTACGACTGCTGGGGCTTGAGCCTGGATAACCGCTGGAGCATCTCCTAGAACGATGTATCCTAAAACGGTCTCAAGCGCATCCGGAGAACCGGGTTCCCCGATAATTTTACCAGGTCGTAGCATCTCTGCAAAAAGACTAACACCGATTAATAAATCTATTTCTCCTGGCATACCCCAGCCATCGTCCGCCATGGGAATACTACGTAGATTTTCAAGGAATCTAGTATCGATATTACACGTTGGTATATTACTAGTGATTCGATTTAACACTAGAGCCTGAATATTAAATTTTGTATTATTGAATCGAGATCGAAAAGAAATATTTGCCGCCCCCTTGACTATCTGTGATGAGTTGAGATGATGGTTGAAAATGGTAAATGGACTGTAATTTGCATAGACGCTGGCTGATTCTACTCGATACCGTTAACTAGACAATATTACTAAGGTCGGACGTACCTGAATATACGAAGGCGGATGGTCCTGCTCTCGTGCGCTTCTTCGGGGATCCCAGCTACACGGATTTCGGTCACTCACGATTATCCAATTCTAGGAATAACTTGCGGCGGAACATATATTAGGGAGCAGCGAAAAAACGTGCCATTTCTCACGACGCGCGGCGTTGACAGTATGTGATCACGTGACGGGAAGATGTCCGTAATTTTAACGGACCAATAGTACGCAAGAATCCCATCGACCCGCGAAATACACGGACATCCAAACCAAAGTAACATTGGTGTAACAGTTGCGAGTATTCAGAGCAAAATAAACAAAGAAATTTCGGCTGCTTATTAAACTAGCCGAACCATTCCTCCCGGCCTTGAAAGGGAAGCTTTCAAAGGTGTAATCATCTTTATCGACCAAATTAATTTATTCTCACTTCCATGAACCTTATTACAACATACTAAAGAATGTTTGTTAACTACTTATATCTACTTAATCCCACTAACTTATCTATGACTTATTATCTAGAGGCTAATCTACCCTTTACCTAAATAATTTGTGAATTTTACTGAGTTGGTAATGGACACAATTTAACCACTGGTCTTTGGTAAGTACCGTGCTTAGTCCTTACCATTGCTACACGTATAACGTCGTCCTTACCTTTAAAGGTTTGTGTTATAATGCCTAAGGGCCAATGTAAGGGCGTGATGTTATCCTGTATTACTACAACAACCGTTCCTTCCTTAACTGGGAAGGATGGTGAGTTCCACTTCTGGCGGGCTTGTAGGCTATGAAGATATTCTCTCCTCCATCGCATCCAGAATGACTGTACCAACTTGTCTAAGAGTTCATATCGAGTTAGAAGATGCGGAATCGAATCATCGATATCAGGTGCTGGCAGGAAATCAAGCGGGACGGTATGTAAAAAATGAGCTGGCGTCAAAGCTGCTGGATCTGAAGGATCAGAGCTGAGAACTGTAAGTGGTCGTGAATTCAATATGGATTCAATCTGGCTTAAAACTGTTTGAAGCTCCTCAAAGGTTAGAATTTGTTGGCCGATGACCCTATATAAATGGGTTTTTATGCACTTGATGTTACTTTCCCAGCAACCACCGAAGTGTGGAGCATTAGGAGGAATCAGTTTCCATTGGATACGACTTTCTGCTAACTGCTTTTCCCACACTGGTTTATATTCATTCTTTAGAAAAGCGTACAAATCGCGAAGATAAGATCGGGCACCAATAAAATTAGTTCCGTTATCGGTATAAAAACATTGAACCGATCCCCGTCTAGCTAGGAATCGTTTCATGGCTGCCAAGAAGCAAGCTGTGCTGAGATCGCTTGCGAGCTCAATATGCACCGCTCGTGTAGTAAGGCATGTAAACAAGCAGATGTAAGCCTTACGGCTTTTTATACCCTTACCACGATATGGTGTTACTAGGACTGGGCCGGCATAATCGCATCCAGTATGGACGAAGGCTTTGACAACCGCTCTCACTCGAGGTTCAGGGAGGTCAGCCATCATAGGGAACCCAGGTTGAGGCTTAGATCGAAAACATACGTTGCATTTAGATATAATGGCTCTAATTGCACGTCTAGCAGATAGTATCCAGTATTTAACACGGAGTACAGAAGATAGCAACCCTGGTCCTGTATGTAAATATTTGCAGTGGTATGAGCGTATGAGCAAGTCTACCACATGATCCTTACAAGGAAGGAGAATAGGATGTTTAAAATCAAAACTCTCCTCTGAGTTTGCCAAACGGCCACCTACGCGTAATACGCCATCCTTAAGAAATGGGTTTAATTTTTTAATAGATGGAGAACGACATCCCCCTTTCTCTAAACGTTGAAGGTCATCACTAAAATGTATTGACTGTATTACCTTCATAATTTCTAATTCCGTAAATTCCAAATCTGACTCAACTATGGGTCCCAGAGGTAGCTTCCTTATAAACTTGTATATGTAGCTTGCCACGTTAAGGAACCGTTGCCACGAAGAGTAATTACGTGCTAGCTTATAAAGAAAAGGTTCTTCGATTGGTTTTATTATTACTAGGGAAATAGACTTAAGCTCCGGCGCGTCGGAAGATTCCTTTGGCACAAATGTTTTTATTGGCCATTCGGTTTTTTGTAAATGGGCCCAAGGAGGCCCCTGTAGCCACAGGGGGTGATTCATAAGTTGTGTAGGAGTTAATCCACGGGACAAACAATCGCACGGGTTTTCGTTACCCTTGATGTGGTAAAAGTGATCCGATGGTAAGTTGTCCTGGATTTTGGAGACTCTATTGGCAACAAACGTGTGCCATCGGTGCGGAGAAGAGTGAATCCAATTTAACACTACGGTCGAGTCTGAAAATGCTAACACCGAATCAATTGGGTATCTACTCGAATATATTTCAAAAACCTTTTTTATTAATTTAGAAAGCAACAAGGCTGCACATAATTCCAGACGTGCTAATGAAACAACCTTCAAGGGCGCAACCTTTGACTTTGCGCATGACAAAATGACAGTTGTCTGAATTTGTTTGACGTCTACTCGAATATAAACTGCGGCGCCATAAGCCTTTTCACTCGCGTCAGCGAAACCCAGAATTGTTACCGAACAGCCATGAACCACTCCAAGGTGCCGAGGAAATTTCATCTGGGCAAGCAGGGGAAGTTCCCGTCGGAATTCATTCCACAGTTGTGTAATTCGTTGTGGGGGATCAGCGTCCCAGTCTATTTTAGCAATCCAAAGCTCCTTGATTAAAAGCTTGGCATACAAAATTACAGGTGCTACCAGGCCCAAAACATCAAACAAACGTGCGACAGAGGACAAAATGTTTCTCTTAGTGCAAGGGCGATCATCTGAAATTACCTTGAAGGCGAACTCATCATCATGAGGACGCCAGTAAAGACCTAATATTTTCAAGGTATCGTCCTTGTGAAATTCGACATTTTGCGACAAGCGATAATCTTCAGGAATATATTCAAGTACCCTTGTGCTATTGCTACTCCATTTGACTAGATCGAAGCCCCCAGCCTTAAATAGCCCGATTAACTCTTGAAAGGCAGAAATAGCTCGATCGGAATTCATCAGTGAGCTAGCTATATCGTCCATGTAAAGATCTCTCTGCACGACTTCTTTACCTATAGGAAAACGGTGACCCTCATCCTGTACTAGTTGCGAGACAGTGCGAAGAGCTAAAAATGGGCTACACTTTAGTCCAAAGGCTACTCTATTGAATTCTAATGATTTTATTGGAATTTGAATATCTGAACCACCTCCTAAATTGTCATTCCGACTGAAGCGATATAAGATACGCTGAAAACGTCGATCCTGCTTACGGACGCCTATCCTAAGATACATCTGCCTCACGTCAGCTGTGATGGCAACAGGTAATAGTCTCATATTCATTAGGATTGTAAAAAGGTCGCGTTGAAGATTGGGACCGGCATATAAAAGATCATTTAAAGAAAATCCGCTACTAGACTTAGCACTTGCATCCAGGACAGGTCGAATCCGTGTCGATAATTTATCTTCCCTAAGAACAGCGTGGTGGGGCATGTAAAAGTGCAGAGGATCTTTATCGGCTGTATCAATAGGAGACAAATAACCTTGATATATATAATCCTTGATTACACTATCGTACGCCTCTCTTAGAGCGGGCTGAGCAGTAAACCTACGCTCTAAATGCAAAAATCTACGCCCAGCAACTTCCAAAGAATTACCAAGAAGATCTGGACTGAATTTGAAAGGTAATGCTACTTCGTAGCGTCCGGAAGTAGCACGCGTGACAGTCTTGCTATAATTTTCTTCGCATATTTTATCATCAGCACTAAAGATATGCTTAGGATCAATTTCGTCGAGTTCCCACATTTTCCTAACTAGAGTCTCGACCTCAGATGTTGAAATAGCATGAAAAGCTACGACTGCTGGGGCTTGAGCCTGGATAACCGCTGGAGCATCTCCTAGAACGATGTATCCTAAAACGGTCTCAAGCGCATCCGGAGAACCGGGTTCCCCGATAATTTTACCAGGTCGTAGCATCTCTGCAAAAAGACTAACACCGATTAATAAATCTATTTCTCCTGGCATACCCCAGCCATCGTCCGCCATGGGAATACTACGTAGATTTTCAAGGAATCTAGTATCGATATTACACGTTGGTATATTACTAGTGATTCGATTTAACACTAGAGCCTGAATATTAAATTTTGTATTATTGAATCGAGATCGAAAAGAAATATTTGCCGCCCCCTTGACTATCTGTGATGAGCCACCTATTCCCTTCACCGTTACAGGCGAATTAGATTCGACCTTTAGCTGTAGTTTTGAACAACATTTTGTTGTTATATAATGTTTCTGGGAACCAGGATCCAGTAAACATCTAACTATTACATCGCGACCATCGCGACCGGTGGCATAAACCTTTGCGGTTGCGAGAACTTGCGTTGTTGATGATGAATCGCATTTTGTAGAAGACAACGAGCAATACGACACTTCTGGATTTCCTTCTCCAACCAAATAACCGTCACGCACTTGATCGGAGGAGGACTCTTCTTCAAGTTCTAGTGAGCTCAGTATTTCACTAGTATCATGTTCCTCGTTCACGGCTACAGTGGCGGTGCAAGACTGCGCCGCAAATGGTTCATTTCCAAAATGAAGCAACGTGTGATGCCTGGCATTACACTTGCGACAAGAAGTGTTTGAGTTGCAATAAAAAGAGGTATGTTGGTTACTCAAACAATTAACGCAGTAACGATTGTCCTTAACGAATTTAAATTTGTCGGCAGCCGAAAGGTTAGCAAAGGGTTTACATGCATAGAGATGCGTATGCGCCGTGTTGTTGCAAAGCTTACATGGCCTAGTACGACCTTGGGTCTGCTGCGTGGAGACTAAGACGCGTGGCGGCACGGTTAAAGCCCGTGAGCTAGATGGGCGACTACCAGAGTTGGGATGCGGTGCCATGGAACTGCCACGAGTTTGTGATGAAGTGCTGGTTCGATACAAAATTTTTACCTGTTCTCGTAAGAACTTAACAAACTCGTCGTATTTAGGCATGTCCGTTTGACTACGAACTGTTGTTTCGAAACACTTCGCAGTATCGGAATCTACAAGCTTTAGGCCCATGTAAACAAAAATAAAGTCACTTAAATTATCTATATTAAGTTGTTTGAGTGCTGCGATCGTGGCCGCGTATTTATCTACCAAATTTTCTAAATTTATTGCAGAGGGACCGTTAATATTCTTTAATGCAAATAACTGATTTAGATATGTCGTAGCTAAAGCTCTGTTATCCTTGTATTTGTCTTGTAAAGTTTGCCAAATAATTACGTAATTATCTGCCGCCGGGATTATACCAGCACATATATGTTTTGCTTTTCCGGAAAGGTGGCTCATTAAATAGTGAATACGTTCCGAATCCGTTAACGTTTTATTTTCGTGTATAACACGTTTAAACGTTTCGTAAAAATAAGGAAAGTTTTGTAACTCACCATCGAAAATAGGCAATTCAATACGAGGAATCTTAATAGTATGTTCCTGATTAATTGCATGTGTGACGGCTTGCGATTGTGGGTTTGGTCTCTCCATACTATTCAGGATATCTCTAGTATATTTTTGGTTGAAAATGGTAAATGGACTGTAATTTGCATAGACGCTGGCTGATTCTACTCGATACCGTTAACTAGACAATATTACTAAGGTCGGACGTACCTGAATATACGAAGGCGGATGGTCCTGCTCTCGTGCGCTTCTTCGGGGATCCCAGCTACACGGATTTCGGTCACTCACGATTATCCAATTCTAGGAATAACTTGCGGCGGAACATATATTAGGGAGCAGCGAAAAAACGTGCCATTTCTCACGACGCGCGGCGTTGACAGTATGTGATCACGTGACGGGAAGATGTCCGTAATTTTAACGGACCAATAGTACGCAAGAATCCCATCGACCCGCGAAATACACGGACATCCAAACCAAAGTAACATTGGTGTAACAGTTGCGAGTATTCAGAGCAAAATAAACAAAGAAATTTCGGCTGCTTATTAAACTAGCCGAACCATTCCTCCCGGCCTTGAAAGGGAAGCTTTCAAAGGTGTAATCATCTTTATCGACCAAATTAATTTATTCTCACTTCCATGAACCTTATTACAACATACTAAAGAATGTTTGTTAACTACTTATATCTACTTAATCCCACTAACTTATCTATGACTTATTATCTAGAGGCTAATCTACCCTTTACCTAAATAATTTGTGAATTTTACTGAGTTGGTAATGGACACAATTTAACCACTGGTCTTTGGTAAGTACCGTGCTTAGTCCTTACCATTGCTACACGTATAACGTCGTCCTTACCTTTAAAGGTTTGTGTTATAATGCCTAAGGGCCAATGTAAGGGCGTGATGTTATCCTGTATTACTACAACAACCGTTCCTTCCTTAACTGGGAAGGATGGTGAGTTCCACTTCTGGCGGGCTTGTAGGCTATGAAGATATTCTCTCCTCCATCGCATCCAGAATGACTGTACCAACTTGTCTAAGAGTTCATATCGAGTTAGAAGATGCGGAATCGAATCATCGATATCAGGTGCTGGCAGGAAATCAAGCGGGACGGTATGTAAAAAATGAGCTGGCGTCAAAGCTGCTGGATCTGAAGGATCAGAGCTGAGAACTGTAAGTGGTCGTGAATTCAATATGGATTCAATCTGGCTTAAAACTGTTTGAAGCTCCTCAAAGGTTAGAATTTGTTGGCCGATGACCCTATATAAATGGGTTTTTATGCACTTGATGTTACTTTCCCAGCAACCACCGAAGTGTGGAGCATTAGGAGGAATCAGTTTCCATTGGATACGACTTTCTGCTAACTGCTTTTCCCACACTGGTTTATATTCATTCTTTAGAAAAGCGTACAAATCGCGAAGATAAGATCGGGCACCAATAAAATTAGTTCCGTTATCGGTATAAAAACATTGAACCGATCCCCGTCTAGCTAGGAATCGTTTCATGGCTGCCAAGAAGCAAGCTGTGCTGAGATCGCTTGCGAGCTCAATATGCACCGCTCGTGTAGTAAGGCATGTAAACAAGCAGATGTAAGCCTTACGGCTTTTTATACCCTTACCACGATATGGTGTTACTAGGACTGGGCCGGCATAATCGCATCCAGTATGGACGAAGGCTTTGACAACCGCTCTCACTCGAGGTTCAGGGAGGTCAGCCATCATAGGGAACCCAGGTTGAGGCTTAGATCGAAAACATACGTTGCATTTAGATATAATGGCTCTAATTGCACGTCTAGCAGATAGTATCCAGTATTTAACACGGAGTACAGAAGATAGCAACCCTGGTCCTGTATGTAAATATTTGCAGTGGTATGAGCGTATGAGCAAGTCTACCACATGATCCTTACAAGGAAGGAGAATAGGATGTTTAAAATCAAAACTCTCCTCTGAGTTTGCCAAACGGCCACCTACGCGTAATACGCCATCCTTAAGAAATGGGTTTAATTTTTTAATAGATGGAGAACGACATCCCCCTTTCTCTAAACGTTGAAGGTCATCACTAAAATGTATTGACTGTATTACCTTCATAATTTCTAATTCCGTAAATTCCAAATCTGACTCAACTATGGGTCCCAGAGGTAGCTTCCTTATAAACTTGTATATGTAGCTTGCCACGTTAAGGAACCGTTGCCACGAAGAGTAATTACGTGCTAGCTTATAAAGAAAAGGTTCTTCGATTGGTTTTATTATTACTAGGGAAATAGACTTAAGCTCCGGCGCGTCGGAAGATTCCTTTGGCACAAATGTTTTTATTGGCCATTCGGTTTTTTGTAAATGGGCCCAAGGAGGCCCCTGTAGCCACAGGGGGTGATTCATAAGTTGTGTAGGAGTTAATCCACGGGACAAACAATCGCACGGGTTTTCGTTACCCTTGATGTGGTAAAAGTGATCCGATGGTAAGTTGTCCTGGATTTTGGAGACTCTATTGGCAACAAACGTGTGCCATCGGTGCGGAGAAGAGTGAATCCAATTTAACACTACGGTCGAGTCTGAAAATGCTAACACCGAATCAATTGGGTATCTACTCGAATATATTTCAAAAACCTTTTTTATTAATTTAGAAAGCAACAAGGCTGCACATAATTCCAGACGTGCTAATGAAACAACCTTCAAGGGCGCAACCTTTGACTTTGCGCATGACAAAATGACAGTTGTCTGAATTTGTTTGACGTCTACTCGAATATAAACTGCGGCGCCATAAGCCTTTTCACTCGCGTCAGCGAAACCCAGAATTGTTACCGAACAGCCATGAACCACTCCAAGGTGCCGAGGAAATTTCATCTGGGCAAGCAGGGGAAGTTCCCGTCGGAATTCATTCCACAGTCGTGTAATTCGTTGTGGGGGATCAGCGTCCCAGTCTATTTTAGCAATCCAAAGCTCCTTGATTAAAAGCTTGGCATACAAAATTACAGGTGCTACCAGGCCCAAAACATCAAACAAACGTGCGACAGAGGACAAAATGTTTCTCTTAGTGCAAGGGCGATCATCTGAAATTACCTTGAAGGCGAACTCATCATCATGAGGACGCCAGTAAAGACCTAATATTTTCAAGGTATCGTCCTTGTGAAATTCGACATTTTGCGACAAGCGATAATCTTCAGGAATATATTCAAGTACCCTTGTGCTATTGCTACTCCATTTGACTAGATCGAAGCCCCCAGCCTTAAATAGCCCGATTAACTCTTGAAAGGCAGAAATAGCTCGATCGGAATTCATCAGTGAGCTAGCTATATCGTCCATGTAAAGATCTCTCTGCACGACTTCTTTACCTATAGGAAAACGGTGACCCTCATCCTGTACTAGTTGCGAGACAGTGCGAAGAGCTAAAAATGGGCTACACTTTAGTCCAAAGGCTACTCTATTGAATTCTAATGATTTTATTGGAATTTGAATATCTGAACCACCTCCTAAATTGTCATTCCGACTGAAGCGATATAAGATACGCTGAAAACGTCGATCCTGCTTACGGACGCCTATCCTAAGATACATCTGCCTCACGTCAGCTGTGATGGCAACAGGTAATAGTCTCATATTCATTAGGATTGTAAAAAGGTCGCGTTGAAGATTGGGACCGGCATATAAAAGATCATTTAAAGAAAATCCGCTACTAGACTTAGCACTTGCATCCAGGACAGGTCGAATCCGTGTCGATAATTTATCTTCCCTAAGAACAGCGTGGTGGGGCATGTAAAAGTGCAGAGGATCTTTATCGGCTGTATCAATAGGAGACAAATAACCTTGATATATATAATCCTTGATTACACTATCGTACGCCTCTCTTAGAGCGGGCCGAGCAGTAAACCTACGCTCTAAATGCAAAAATCTACGCCCAGCAACTTCCAAAGAATTACCAAGAAGATCTGGACTGAATTTGAAAGGTAATGCTACTTCGTAGCGTCCGGAAGTAGCACGCGTGACAGTCTTGCTATAATTTTCTTCGCATATTTTATCATCAGCACTAAAGATATGCTTAGGATCAATTTCGTCGAGTTCCCACATTTTCCTAACTAGAGTCTCGACCTCAGATGTTGAAATAGCATGAAAAGCTACGACTGCTGGGGCTTGAGCCTGGATAACCGCTGGAGCATCTCCTAGAACGATGTATCCTAAAACGGTCTCAAGCGCATCCGGAGAACCGGGTTCCCCGATAATTTTACCAGGTCGTAGCATCTCTGCAAAAAGACTAACACCGATTAATAAATCTATTTCTCCTGGCATACCCCAGCCATCGTCCGCCATGGGAATACTACGTAGATTTTCAAGGAATCTAGTATCGATATTACACGTTGGTATATTACTAGTGATTCGATTTAACACTAGAGCCTGAATATTAAATTTTGTATTATTGAATCGAGATCGAAAAGAAATATTTGCCGCCCCCTTGACTATCTGTGATGAGCCACCTATTCCCTTCACCGTTACAGGCGAATTAGATTCGACCTTTAGCTGTAGTTTTGAACAACATTTTGTTGTTATATAATGTTTCTGGGAACCAGGATCCAGTAAACATCTAACTATTACATCGCGACCATCGCGACCGGTGGCATAAACCTTTGCGGTTGCGAGAACTTGCGTTGTTGATGATGAATCGCATTTTGTAGAAGACAACGAGCAATACGACACTTCTGGATTTCCTTCTCCAACCAAATAACCGTCACGCACTTGATCGGAGGAGGACTCTTCTTCAAGTTCTAGTGAGCTCAGTATTTCACTAGTATCATGTTCCTCGTTCACGGCTACAGTGGCGGTGCAAGACTGCGCCGCAAATGGTTCATTTCCAAAATGAAGCAACGTGTGATGCCTGGCATTACACTTGCGACAAGAAGTGTTTGAGTTGCAATAAAAAGAGGTATGTTGGTTACTCAAACAATTAACGCAGTAACGATTGTCCTTAACGAATTTAAATTTGTCGGCAGCCGAAAGGTTAGCAAAGGGTTTACATGCATAGAGATGCGTATGCGCCGTGTTGTTGCAAAGCTTACATGGCCTAGTACGACCTTGGGTCTGCTGCGTGGAGACTAAGACGCGTGGCGGCACGGTTAAAGCCCGTGAGCTAGATGGGCGACTACCAGAGTTGGGATGCGGTGCCATGGAACTGCCACGAGTTTGTGATGAAGTGCTGGTTCGATACAAAATTTTTACCTGTTCTCGTAAGAACTTAACAAACTCGTCGTATTTAGGCATGTCCGTTTGACTACGAACTGTTGTTTCGAAACACTTCGCAGTATCGGAATCTACAAGCTTTAGGCCCATGTAAACAAAAATAAAGTCACTTAAATTATCTATATTAAGTTGTTTGAGTGCTGCGATCGTGGCCGCGTATTTATCTACCAAATTTTCTAAATTTATTGCAGAGGGACCGTTAATATTCTTTAATGCAAATAACTGATTTAGATATGTCGTAGCTAAAGCTCTGTTATCCTTGTATTTGTCTTGTAAAGTTTGCCAAATAATTACGTAATTATCTGCCGCCGGGATTATACCAGCACATATATGTTTTGCTTTTCCGGAAAGGTGGCTCATTAAATAGTGAATACGTTCCGAATCCGTTAACGTTTTATTTTCGTGTATAACACGTTTAAACGTTTCGTAAAAATAAGGAAAGTTTTGTAACTCACCATCGAAAATAGGCAATTCAATACGAGGAATCTTAATAGTATGTTCCTGATTAATTGCATGTGTGACGGCTTGCGATTGTGGGTTTGGTCTCTCCATACTATTCAGGATATCCTTAATAAAATAATATAAGTCGTCAAAAGCTGATAACGGCTGGTAATTAATACTATAATCGGGATATACTTCCAAATTTAATAAATTTATATCATCAACCAAAGTTACAAACTCTTTACGTAATTGATCGACGGCGCGAGCTTGTGATAAGAAATTATGCCGTGATTTTTCATCTGTTTTCGATGATAGTTGAAAAGTCTTATTTATTTGAGAGAAATACAATTGACGCTTAGCTTCTAACAATTTAATTTGCATAAGGCGTCTATCTTTTCCTGCACCCTTTTCCGTCATTGTAAATATATTTATTAGAACACGATTATATTACCCCAAAGTGAGTAAATTATCCTTGTTTTTACGAATTAAATGTAAATAAATTTTCATGCGTGATTGAAGAAATATAAATGAGCAGGTTAGTTAATAAGTATTTAAGTAATTTAACTGTATTTATAGTATACAAAGTTTGCGAACTCCACTAGAAATTCAAATCAGTTTTAATATATGTCATGCGCTGCATATGTACCAAACTAAGAAAAAGGTGCGATACGGTACTTAGATAAACTGCACAATGGCTGGCGGCGAGGCGCGGCGGTTATTTCTACCCACTAGGTAAATTAAATCGAACCGATTTAAATATTTACGGAGCGATATGATAATAATATTAAATGCGATTAAGTAAATTAAATGCGACAGCTGTCTAAAAGTCGATGCGATTAATAAGAATGTTTCTTAGTAATAAACATATAAAATCGATCTTGTAAACGGCTGTATGCGATGCGGAAAATACATCAATATTAAGTAGTATTTACAAGTCGACAACTAACAGTATAAATAGTCGACATCAACCCAAGTATGCCACAATAAGGTTCAGTATCAATTACGTCGAAGAGTCGAATCACAATCGGATTTACCTATTTAATAGTTCCAATCCGAATGTCATCCGGGGAGATGGACCAATTTTTGGTTGAAAATGGTAAATGGACTGTAATTTGCATAGACGCTGGCTGATTCTACTCGATACCGTTAACTAGACAATATTACTAAGGTCGGACGTACCTGAATATACGAAGGCGGATGGTCCTGCTCTCGTGCGCTTCTTCGGGGATCCCAGCTACACGGATTTCGGTCACTCACGATTATCCAATTCTAGGAATAACTTGCGGCGGAACATATATTAGGGAGCAGCGAAAAAACGTGCCATTTCTCACGACGCGCGGCGTTGACAGTATGTGATCACGTGACGGGAAGATGTCCGTAATTTTAACGGACCAATAGTACGCAAGAATCCCATCGACCCGCGAAATACACGGACATCCAAACCAAAGTAACATTGGTGTAACAGTTGCGAGTATTCAGAGCAAAATAAACAAAGAAATTTCGGCTGCTTATTAAACTAGCCGAACCACGTTTACTTATAAAAGTTTCGCCATTTTTTTCTTATTCATCACGAAACAAAGCTTTTGTGCTAAAGATTATATTGCGAAAAGAAAAGAAAAATGGCATAAGAACAATGCCCAATTAAGGGATGGATGTAGGGATCGTAATAAACAGGAGCGCACATAAGTGAAATTTTTCCTTTGTAAAGAGAACAGCTAATGAAACTAATCGTGACGGACCCCATATCCGCATATTTTTCCCCTCGTCAGTAATACGTACAAAGGTCAGCCCTAATGATCTCTAACATCTTCTTGAACATAATTTCGTGTATCATAGAAATGGTATACGCTAATAAATTTACTGTTTGAAAGATAATGAAATTACATTTTACTACTTTAAAGGTAAAGTTACAGCCAATATACGTCCCCTGCTGGGCACAGGCCTCCTCTCATTTCTTAGAGGTTTTCAGGGCAAGAAAATGTACACCGCGCTGCTTCAATGCGTGTTGAGGAACTTCGCATGTCTTCAATATATTTTTTTTCTTATTTCTCAGACATGCAGATTTCCTCACGATATTTTCCTTCACCGCCGAGCACTTGGTAAATCAGCACTTAAAATCGCAATTTACAATTTCATTGGGGCTGGCGGGGATCGAACCCGGATTACTCGCGTACTATGAAACTACAGCAACCATCTGAGCTACCACGGCTCTTTTACTAGTGTACTAAGTAATAAAATCATTGTGTTATGTTCTCCCTTATTTTTTCTTTATTGATTCTTCTTTATTGATTTTGTACTAATGGAGTCAATTAATTGACTCCATTAGTACAAAATCAATAAAGTGTGTAAAAATCTAATTATTCCCAATCTCACTGGCTGTCTTAATAAATTACTGGTACAAGGTATATTCCCAAATAGTCTTAAAGTAGCTAAGGTCAATCCGATCTATAAATCTGGTATAAAGACGGATCCAGGAAAGTATCGGTCTGTGTCAGTTTTGACAGTGCTTTCAAAAATCCTGGAGAAAGTAATTTACAAACGACTGAATGACCACTTGACTTAAATAAATTTTTTGTGTGATCAACAATATGGTTTCCGTTCAAAATCGAGTACTCTCAGTGCAGCTATTGACTTAACTACTAAAATAAAAACTAAAATATACCAAAAACAGCTAGCACTAAGTGTGTTCATTTACTTAAAAAAGACCTTTGACACAGTGAGTTACTCGTTGCTACTAAAAAAGTTAGAAAGTATTGGTGTGACAGACACGGCACTCCAGATGTTCTTACCGAAATCTTACCTTGAAAATAGATACCAGGTTGTAAGGATTGGAAATTATAAAAGCAGTCCCCTACCTATAAACTGTGGAGTACCATAAGATTCAATTCTTGGTCCGCTATTGTTTTTAGTGTATGCTAACAATATTTGTGAAGTAGGGTTACACGGCCATCTCACTTTGTATGCAGACGACACATGTTTGTTCTAGTTTGGACTAAATATAGATGACCTTACTTTGCTTGCTCAACAAGATCTTGTCACACTACACAGATGGTATCAGTACAACCTATTTGTTAATATCATGGTATTAAACAGTAAATTTATTAGCGTATACCATTTCTATGATACACGAAATTATGTTCAAGAAGATGTTAGAGATCATTAGGGCTGGCCTTTGTACGTATTACTGACGAGGGGAAAAATATGCGGATATGGGGTCCGTCACGATTAGTTTCATTAGCTGTTCTCTTTACAAAGGAAAAATTTCACTTATGTGCGCTCCTGTTTATTACGATCCCTACATCCATCCCTTAATTGGGCATTGTTCTTATGCCATTTTTCTTTTCTTTTCGCAATATAATCTTTAGCACAAAAGCTTTGTTTCGTGATGAATAAGAAAAAAATGGCGAAACTTTTATAAGTAAACGTTTTATCTTAAATGTACAAAACAAAGATTTTTTATTTGTAACTAATAAAAATATAATTATAGATACAGAAAAAATATATTAGCATTCCGGCTTAAGATAACCCATCACTCCATTACGTCCCGTGTGTGTCGTAAATGACTACCCATGGTAAAAACCAGAACTTTCGCTATATGGTGATATAGCCATATTATTTACGCCATACAAGCCGTGTAGTGGCGGTCAAGAATATCCACTACCCCATATCCTCCCGTGGGTGTCGTAAAAGGCGACAAAGGGAAACAGGCAGGAGATGGGCAGCAGCATCTTCCTGATAATAGCCAAATTACAATAAAAAAAAAAACTGCGGTTGCCAACCCGCTCGCCAAGCGTGGCAACTATGGCAAATACCCCCCTATGAATGACAGTAACAAAGAAACGGCCCCCAGTCCCCGGCGGCCCCGCTATTCCTGGCTACGGTGGCGACCATGGTAACGGCGGGGCAGGGGGTGCTAAGAATCTCCGGTGGAGGTTCGGTTGCCACCTTAGACGACTCGACCTGGCAACGTACAACGCACGCACCCTGAGGACTGACGAGAAGATCGTGGAGCTGGAAGAAGAGATAGACAAGTTGCGCTGGCATATTATAGGATTATCCGAAGTCCGAAGAGAGGGTGAGGACACGGTAATCCTCGATTCCGGCAACTTGCTCTATCACCGGGAGGGCGACTATCTGTCCCAAGGAGGTGTCGGATTTATCGTCCACAAGTCTCTCGTTAACAACGTTGTAAAGATCGAGAGTGTGTCGACGAGGGTTGCGTACCTTATACTCAGAATCACCAAACGGTATTCGCTGAAGGTCATACAGGTTTACGCACCAACCTCGGCACACCCCGATGAGGAGGTGGAGGAAATGTATGAGGATATCTCTAGAGCCATGCATTCCTCCAAAACCCAATATACGGTGTTAATGGGAGACTTCAATGCAAAACTAGGCACAAGAGAGAGCGGTGAGCTGAAAGTAGGGAAATTTGGAATAGGGCAACGGAACCCAAGGGGCCAGCAGCTGGCCGACTTCATGGAGAAAGAGGGACTCTTTATGATGAACTCTTTCTTCCAGAAGCGGCCCCACAGGAAGTGGACCTGGTCGAGCCCCGACGGTTCCACAAAAAATGAGATTGACTTCATTATGACGACCAGACGACAACTGTTCAGTGATGTCTCCGTGATCGCGAGGGTGAAAACTGGTAGCGATCACCGAATGGTTAGAGGCACACTGAACCTAAACGTTAAGTTGGAGAGGTCTCGTCTAATGAAGTCAACGCTCCGTCCCCCTCGTGCTCTGTTCCAAAGTCCCGAAACCTTTCAGCTCGCGTTACAAAACCGTTTTCAGTGCCTGGAAGACTGCAATGAAGTGGACGATATGAATGACAAGCTCGTGGAAACTGTCACATGCGGTCGGAGCTAAGTTCTGCAAGACCCGCCGCAGAAGAACACAAAAACTCTCCGATCACACTCTTAATCTCATGGCTGTTAGACGGGAGATGAAGCTACATTCTTCAACAGACTTGACAGCATACAGGCATCTGAACAGACAGATCTCCAAATGCATGCGGCGGGACTTACGCAACTTCAATACAGCTCGTATTGAAGAAGCGATCGAGCGGAACCAAGGCTCCAAAGTCTTTGCCAGAGATCTGTCTGCCAGAAAGAGCCAACTGTCAAAGCTGAAGACAGAATGTGGCAGCATCGTTTCCGGGACACCTGAGATATTGAGTGAGATTGAGAGGTTCTATGGGCAGCTGTACACATCATCGTTGGAGCCACACGCAAGTGTGAGTAACGATCCAAGAGCGAGTCTCATCCGACACTATTCCGAAGATATCCCGGATGTCAGTCTGAGCGAGATTAGGATGGCTCTCCAGCACCTTAAAAACGGTAAGGCCCCAGGCGAGGATGGAATTACAGCGGAGCTTCTGAAAGCGGGTGGAAGACCGGTACTTGAAGTCCTTCAGA